TGCAAATTTCAACAGAGCAGTTTGGGAATGTGAGATGTCAAAAAATATGTAGAAATTAAAAAAAAACCAAAACCAAACCAAAACTAAAAGAAAAAAACTCCACAAAAACCTAAAACAAAACAGAAAAAAACAGCCTTGTGAGCCACCAATTGTACATGTTGAAAATTCCTCACCATCATTGTGAAGAATTCCTTGGAATTGCCAAGGACGTGGTGCAGGGGAGGGACATGAAACGAGCCCTGGTGAAGTCAGGGGGGAAATCCTTGGTTTGAAGGAAAGCTTTGCAAATTGCACTGCAAGTTGTGTGTCGGTACAAGTTTGTACAACTTTTCCTCTTCGAGCAGTTGGTTCATTGCTTCCGGAAGGAAAAGCAATGGAGTGAAACGTTAATATTGTTTAACAAAGCAACCTGTGTGTAAGAATCAGGGTGAGGCTTGGCTTTCACATTGGCTCCTGGCACGCAGGGAAACCCAAGAAAAAGCCACCTTTTCCCAATCAAGTGAATGCTGCTGAATTTCCAGCCCAGATTTTGGAAGAGAGATGACTGCCCCAGGGTTATTTTAGGTAGCTCCCTGATTCTAGCAGTTGTGTTGCTGTACTGACACAATCCTGCTTGTTGCTGAGATGAAACAACACAGCAGATTCAGAGCAACTTTCACAAACTGAGAATCGATACATTGAAATAACAGGGGTGAGTTCTGATCCCTGTCACATCTGGAGCATTCTGGAAGCTGCAGCAGCATTGTTAAGTCAGCATGTGGCTGAAGCTGTTCTTTGGACCAGCTGGTCCCATGTTCCCATCCCACTTGCACTCTGGGTTTGGAGTGGTGGAAGTCAACACTTCCACTCAGTTCACTCATCCGTGCTTTTTCCAGCTTTCCATGCAAGGCCAGACAAGATCATTGTTTGTTTGCTTGTTATTTCTTGGTTAGTGCCTCTGACAAGTTCATAAAACAATATTAATGGATCAACCAAGAAAACAAAAGATTTACATATTTTAGCAAGCTGGAAAGCAAATAAATTTACAGTTAGCACTGAGACCAACAGAATAGCTTGTTTGGGACAGAATGTTATGTTTGCATTCAAGTTTGTGAAATTTCATTAATTTTTTTTTTGACTGGCATTAAGGATGGTGGCAAGTGTTAAGATATTTGTTCTCATTGGAAAATCAAAACATTCTGTTCTGAAGGGTGCTTTTTCTGAATGTTTGTTTGCCTCAGCAGGAACAATTTGCAGAAATGAGGCAAATTCTCAAAGCGTTTCCGTGTTGCTGAATCTCTGTTAAAAAAAAAAAAAAAGGCAAAATAAAGCTTTTAGAGCAGTTCCCAGCAATACTTCCAAACTATTACAGAAATTAGAGTGAAATGGTACTGATTAAAATGGGTTTGAGGGGGCATCAGTATCTCTATCCAAGGTAATGGATTTACTCGAGGTGACTTTTGGGTCATGGTATTTCTAAAGCCTTTGGTCTTCAGTGGTTCATTTTCAGAACATTCTTCAACGAATGAGGGTGGAACATTGCAGATATTAGCCCCAGTGTTTACAGAAGATAAAAGAAGCAGGATTTACTCAGACAACAACACCCAGGTACTGAGGTGTGGATCCAGATGGGCAGTAGGTGCAGCCAGCTGGTCAAGACAGAAAATGGCAACACGTCTGAAAGGAATCTGCCTTTGGCCTCCTCTTCCTCCTCACACTTCTGGCTTTTATTTTTTCTTCATTTGGTATGTCAGGTCCATCAGTTATGAATTTGCACTGTCATTAACCCATGTTTTAGAGGTTCCACCCTTCCATTTTGCCAGCTGTGGCAGCTCCATTCAGGTTACCCAGCAGCCAGACTCCACACATGGGAGTGACAGTGAGGACACCCACATGAAAAGCCCATGAGTCTTTCAGACAGGGACAAATGTCCTTCCAAAGAGTGCATGTGGTTCCAAGGGGGAGGCAGAGGGATTAGCATTAAAATAAAATATTGGTTTATGGCAATTTAAAAAAATACACATAACTGGTAAGCACTCTCCCCCATAAAATGGAAAAATATCAGCTATTGTGGGCTATTTGCCAAGGATCCAAATTCTCATGAGCAAACTGCTCTAAGTTCATTTGAAAATCCTTGTGAACTCTGCTGCCAGTCACACATTAGGTTCAGGATGAAAAGAAACCCTGGAAGCCTCTGAGGATCCAGAGGGCTGCCAGTCCTCCCAAATCCAAGTGTGGGACTCAGCTGAGCTTTCCCCACCCCACAGAAAGCAGATGACATCATGTTTGGGCTCGTTCTGTCCATCCCCCACGTGGTGGAAGCAGAGGCAGGGACCAGCTCATTTTGTTTGCAAGTTTTCAGTCTGCAAGTTTGCAAAAGGGTTGGCAGAAGATCAGGTGTCTGCATCCACATTTTCTAGGAAGCCCAAGGCTGCTGTCCAGCTCCAGCTGGGCAGTTGTCCACTCTGTGGCACACAAACACACAGCTCCTCTGGATGGTCACTCGGTGGGCTCAGTCCACCTGATGTCCAGCCGTGAGCCTCACTAAGGTCATTAAAATATGCCTGGGGTTTTACATGTTTTACACTTTGCCTGGCTGCTTGTCCACGAGTCTGACAGCAGCCACATCTGTCCTTGTCCGCACCCAGGGGCTGGGGAGCCTGCTCAGGTGTAAACCTTGGAGCATGAATAATGCACGTTACCAGCCACATGTGCACGTGACGTTACCTGTGGGTAGATGTGTGCACGTGTCAGCTCTGGGGAGCTGATCCAAGCATGCAGCAGGGAGGGAAATGCTGCACATTGCACAAGCTCCCTGAAGTGAGGAGGGAGTGTAGGACCCCCGCCACAAAGTGCTTATTTGATTTCATTTGAGATAAGGACATTCCAAAGGTAAAATCCAAGCCTTGATAATGGTGATGAAAAATGAAACTAGTGTTGAATGCTCACTGCCATTCCTTTTTTTTTTTTTTTCCCACAAAGACATGAGCAAGTTCTTTCTAAATTATAAATAAAATATGATACCTGGAAAAGAAGGAAAATTCAGAGGTAAAGCTCAGCCTCTTGACCTCATTGCCATTCAGCTGAACAGCCAACACGGGGACACAATTCCAAGACAGACTGTGGGCATGTGCATAGCTGTGCACAGCTGAGAAAATAAAAGACCCTTAGCTAGGGCAATAACCCAGATAAAGCATCACCTTTCCCCTGCACCCCAGCAGCTGGGGTGTCACTGATTTCCCCAAAGCCACAGGCTAGAGTGCAGTGTCACACCCCAGCCATGGCAGCAGGACGTGTGGGTGGCAGCAGCACGTGCCCCTGAGATGTGCTCATAAAGTCAGTCACCTCCTGATTTTCTTCTTGAGTAGATTTTCACAACTCCAGCTGCACAAGTCGATTGTACTGAGCGTTTTCCCCTGGTGCAGGGTGATGCTGGAGACCTGCAGGCACAGCTGAGGGTGCGTGGGCAACCTGGGCTGGGCTGTGGCTGTTTCAGTGGAAAGCTGCTGAGGGAGGATTTGAACATCCAGCACTGATTTTTGGATGCCAGTGTTCAGGAAGATAGAGATAGTTCATGGGATTTGGGGTGTTCTTTTTTGTGTTTAACAGAAATATTATTTTAAGTGGTTTTTTTGGAAGCACTGCTGATAAGCCTCAACACCGAAATGCAGGTTAATGGAGTAGGGGAGGTCTGCATGGCACAGCCTCAGTTTTGGAAGAAAACCAACCAAGATCAACCTGGTTTAGCCACAAATCTCACACAGGCTAGCAGGCTGCTGTCTGCACAGAGGAGGTTTGGTCTTTCAAAACCTGTTGTATGGAAATCTCTTTTGCAGTTTGCAAGGGACAAACTGTGATTAGCTTGGATGCAGATTGCTGGGGAGGCCACAAACATCTGCCACTGCTTTCCTCCCGCCATCCCAAGGCACAGGGGGAAGCAACTCAGGGAGAGGCACATGCATGTTTTCTTTGCTGCTGTTTCAGAATACGGTTTGTGAATTTTAATTCTCGTGCTGGCCTGATGATGTTATCTGCTGGCATGCAACCAGAATTGTGACCTGCAGCAGGTGAAGAGGAGCCACTTGTGGGGAAGCTCTCGAGATGTCCCACATCAAGTCCACAATGTCATGGTGCCTTTCTGAAGTTGAAAAACTTTAAAAGAGTGATTTAAAGGTAAGAACACACACCGGCTCATTCAGGCAGAACCACTCTACCCCCACCCTGAGCCTATCTTTAATATCTAATTATCAGGACTAATGACTGATTATGTGTCTCCAGTGTTCTCGACCTTTAATAATTCCTGTCCCAATATGCTTTACCGCTTTCCGGGGGAAATGTTATCTGAAGTGTGAAATTAACCATTCTTTTGTTATGAACTCACCACTTGGCCATAGCTGCTACATAGTTTCAAACCTGAAACATATTTGAACTGTTTCCAAGTTCATCTAGAGCATGACCTTGTGTGTTTTAATAATTATAATTTCCTCAGTAAAGTACAACTCTAGAACCAGAGGAAAAAAAATGTACAGACAGCTGCAGGGGTGGGGATGGCTGACCTTAATGATGAGCTTTACAAATATAGCAGGAGGAAAGCAATAAATCTACAAAACCAAAGTGCTTTCTCATTTTAACCCCTAGTATGCAGCAATGCCCTGATAGCAGAGGGGAGCAGACCCTCCTGCAGGCTGCCCCAGTGACAGTGGAGAGGGGAATGTGGAAGAAGAATACAGGGGAGGTATCAGGTTGATTTTCCTCTTCCTGTTGAGCTGCTCCTGTGTCAGATTTTCATCTCCAGAGTGGTAGTGTAAATCAGCTGAAGGCAGCAGGATTTGCCCCTGCTCTGCAGAGCCCTGGGTATGCGTGCACATGTGAGTAATCCCGTTGGAATCAAGGACTTGCAGGAGGAGCGGGCACATGAGTAATGTTTTGTAGATACAAGGGCTGGAATCTAGGCCACATGGCTCAGGACAAAGAGACATGTCAGTTCTGCATAAATAACACAGGCACTCGGCTTCCAAACTTCAACCTACTTAGCAAGTGCCAGAGTCACTCTTTCCATCCCACGTCTCGGGAAGCAGGACCAGGACAGCAGGGTGACCTTCGCAGGAGCTCGGCTGAGCCCAGGGACTGGGTGCTGCTGGCACCCAGGAGAGGTGGGTGCACTGCAGCCAGCGTGCTCTGATGGGGCAGGGAATGGGATCTCACTGTGCAAGGGCTGTGCTTTGTGCCATGATCTTACTGGGAACAAAAGCCTGTGCAGCGTGCTGTAGGTACCATCCCTGCTGCAGGGGAATTTGGACCATAGCAGGAGGAAATAGCCTCTGTTTCTCCTCCAAACACTTTCCCTCTGTACAGCAATCAACTCCTAAAGCCTCGATGAAACAGGGTTAAATAACAATCAAAGGAGAGAGCCAGGGTGACAGACCACCCAGGTCAGGGTGCATTTGCAGGCATGCATTGCTCCATGCAGTGTAAGACTTCTCTTAGCCACTTCTGGGAGATTTTACCATAGGAATATGACTAACACAACACTTGGCAAGGCAAAGACTAATAGTGTGATTGTTCTGTCGGCTTCTTCCCTTCTTGAGTAATATCGTGCTGAGCAGTGTTTGAGTGAGCGATCTGAAAGGCCTTTTCATTATTGTATCGAAAACTCCTCTGACTGCAGATCTCTTAATCAAAGGACTTTTATGTAAAGTCACATTTTTTCCAAAACCAGAAAAGTTCAGGCTCAGAGCATAAACATTAGACTCATTATTTAGAAATAGCAAGTAAGTCCTTTGGGTTCTGGTATCAGATCAAAGCTAAAAAATTAAATTGCTTCAGAAAAAAAAAATTAGTTCATTTTGGGAATCAGCATATTTCTTGTTTGCTTTTTCATTATGGAGCTAAAAAAAGGAATAGTGAGATTCTGTCGGTGGTTTTCAAGTGTTTTCCAAAACTGGATGGATGCTGCATGCTAAGTACTTCCACAGTCTGTGGAGGCAGAAAATATTTTGTTGACATGACAATAAAAACATTCTGCAGACTTATCGAATTATTTTCTCCGTCACCATCCACAGCCACAAGAAAGCAGCATGATCCCCACACTGCCATGGAACAGAAACCTGCTCTCAGCTGGCATTGCCTTTGAAATGAAGTGCTGGAATTCCGAACACATGGAGGAAGAGATTTCTGTGTGGGTTGTGGGTGAGACCTGGGAAGAGGCCTCAGGTCAGCAGTGTCCCCCACCAACACATGGTCTGACCATGTTGTCCCAAAGAAATCACTCCTTTTGGGACTGCCTGGTGGTAACCACTTTACTAATGGTGGTTTGGGCAAAGAAAATTAGTTTATTATTGCTAATGGGTTCAGCACCACTGTTCTGGTGTCCAGTGCTGTCCATCTTCCTCCAGCCCCACCCACACTTCTGTTTCCTCCTTGCTTGTGGCCCTCACCTGGTTTTTAGGTTGTGGACACACAAGTGATGGAATTGGCCCTTGGCACAGGTGCAGGATGGAGATGGGGGTGGTGGAGAGCCATTTCCCACAGATCAGGCACTGCCAAGGCAGACACTCTCTCCATCCAAGAAAAATCCCACTCTGGAAACAGCTGCTGCTAACAGCAACTCCCACCCTCCTGGTGGAGGTGGATGCTGAGTCCATGGTGCTGTCTGCCCTGCTGACCATGTGATATCCCAAGAGAGAGGGAGCAAGGGGAGATGCCAGACTAATATTTGGGATTGCTTTACTATATTTTTCCCTTCCGAATTTTTTCCCTAGCATCCCTTACGTAATGTAATGTAATTCTTGTAATTCTCAAGGCAAATGTGACCAACCTGAATTCCTGCTGATTTTGTGAACTCTGCAAGTGCCTCAGAGAGAGGTGGGACTCTCAAGAAGTACGGAGGAGAGCAGGCTGCTGAGGGCTGAGGAATGGCAGCAATGCCCACATGTTTTCTGTTTGTGACACCGTGGCTGATGGGAATCATTTAATCACACAGCGAGACCAGTTCACTCTACCTTTACACGAGTCCTTAAGATGTTTCCCTTATCTCTGACTTTCTGCAGACGGCTGGGGTTTTCCCTGCCTGGTTCCTCTGTCACCTACAGATGGCTTTCAGTGCTTAATCCTTGGGAAATGTGAGTTTCTCCATAACTCAGCCACAGTTTCCCTGCTTGGCTGTCACACAGTGTTTCATCTTTTCACTTCTCAGTCCGCATCTGTACAAAGAGGTCAGTAATGAGAGGAAAACAAGCATAGCAGGGCCAGATACACACAGATCCCCAAGTGTTGAGGGGCCATATAATTTCTTAAATGAATTGGTCACATGATACTCATGATGCTCTTTTTTTTCCTTTTTCCTCCTTTACTGGGTAATTGAAACTTCATAGACATTAAGAATCTGAAACATGCGTAACAGTTCTTTATGTACAAACAGCTTTTTCTCTGCAAACTGAGGGGTTTGTGGGGAAGAGAGTTCTGTGAACACTGGAGCGAGCAAGCACCTGTTTCCCACAAGTGTTACAATTCCCACAACTGGCAGGAACAGTTGATGTTCAGGGTATAAATGCAAATTTTCCATCTCTACATCACAGGATTATCTGCGTTGTCCCCAGTTAAACCTCCTCACTGAATATATAATTAAATCTTTCCAAATGACCATGCCCTGCTCCCTTTAGTAAGTTCTGCCTTCATCTGGACAAACTTCTGCCCAAGTCTTTCTATTTCCTATAGGCTCAACACTTGAAGACCTCAATTAATCTCCTAGACTAGGAGGTCTCCAGCTAGAGGAGACAGGAGGCCCAAGAACATGGGTGGGTGAGTTGGTCCCCTGGGTCTTATTGAAAGGGAGACGCATGGCCATCAGATTGGCACCATGCCAATGGAAAGGTCCCTGCTGAAGCCAGGGTGTGTAATTCGACCTTGTAAATTCAGTAACATGGGAAGCAATTACACAGAAATCCAAACTCCAGCAGGCAAGGCTGCACTCTGCTGCACTTGGGCGAACAACACGCAGTGAAGGTCGGGATTGAGCTGATGCTGAGCTGGCAGCAGTCCTCAGTCCTCTGGAATTCATGTCCTGTCTTCAAAAAGGAGGAATAATATATAAAAAATTATTCTGGCCACCCAGTTCCATGCTGCCACTCAACCCCAACCCATTATTTGGGAAATTGCTACTTGAGGAAGGAAAAGATAAATCAGTGCACATTGGAAAAACAACTTGAAACTCTGGCTCAAGGCAGGGAATCAGAGGAGAGCAGGCTCCAGACTTTTCTGCTAGCTTAGTAAAATGGTGTGATATGATCTACGAAGCAGGGGAAGTCAAAGACAAGCTGCCCTGCAGGCATTGCTGGGCAATATGAAGAGACACCTGGGAAGAGACTTTCTGGCAGAAAGAACTGGGCTCAAGGAGGTAGAAGTGATCCTTTCTCAGATGTTATTTTCCTTAACTACATTCAGCACCATCTGATGGAGCTCACTGATCACACCATCACGCTTCCCACCGTGGGGAGATCGTGTGTTACAGACACTTGAACACGGAGAGCTGCTGCTGGAAGCCAAGAAAGCAGCTGGGAAAACACCACAGCCAGGGTAGCTCTGCACAGGCACCACCAGACGGGGTCTGGACACAGAGACCCAGCCTCCAATGACCCTGCACCCCACTCCAGGGACAGCACAGCATCACTTCATGTCAGGAAAGCTGATTTTGGGGAAATGGAAATAACACCAGCACAAATCACTCCCAACTGAATTGTTCATGGACCTTCAGACACCATCAAAGTCAGGAGCACAGCAGGTTCGTGGCCAAATTCACTCACTCCATTCTCACACTGGGAGAGGGGAGGGTCAGCAGGAAAGAGACATTATTCTGTGTTTGAAGGAAACACTCAACCAGAGACCGATTTTTCTTTCTATAAGAGAGTAAATTGGCCATAGCTGCAAATGAACTGCAGGGATCTACTACAAACCAGGATAAAAAAATAATTTTATTTCATTGCAATCAGAAATTTCAGAATTTAAGGAGTAGAAAGTATTGATTTAAATAATGACACCATTTTATAATCTTATACTTAAAAGTGTCTGCCTGTAAATATGGAAACAAAGGACATCATAAGCTTTTGAGGAGAACATAAGTCTAAGGCTCAGGGAGACTTCTGGTTCTCTGAAACTCCTAAGTGGTCACCTGAACATCTTTTAAACTCTGGCCTGCCTGCATTTTTTGCAGGTGGCAGAGATGTTCTACATGTTTTTCATGCCCAGACTTCACCCTTCAGTGCTCCACTTGTTCCCTGCACACCTTGAGTCCTGGCTGTCACTCTTTGCCTCTGTCCTGAGCCCCTCTGAGCAGTTTTCATGTCTCTGGGCTACAGTGTCTCTCTCTGTTTCATATCTGAACCTATCCCTTCCCTTCCATACCTGCACTTATAAAGTATCTCTTCTTTTCTGGTATTACTTACTCCTAATCGCTCTATAATTACATTGTGGAGCCCTGTCAAACTCCCAGGAACAAAGCTCATATGAAGGATGCAAAAATGGACCTCTGTCTCAGGAGAAATTGTGCTGTGGCAGAGATGAGGAAGTTGTTTGATCATTAGCCTTATCTAGAACAAATTGCACATAATAACTTTTAATATTTTCTATCAGATTTGGTTCCTCAGACAGGCACATTTTTTTTTTTTAATTACACTGTATTTAACTGAATCATTTAAGTATATCTGAGTCCCCAAATAAGATACTTAAATGTGCATTAAGAAATAAACAAATCACTAGTTCACTGAATGTGGCCCTTGTTTCACTGCCCTTGACATAGGCTTTAGAACTCAAAACTTTTGTATTGACTTAAGATAAACGCTGCAAGGCCATAAGCAATGCATTGTTCTTATGGTACCCAATAATCTAGTCCTTTTATTTAAATATGATATAAGTAATCCCAGAGCCAATGAAAGCATGGAATGACTAGGTGCTACGTTCCACAAATACTGTCTTGCATAGAAGAGTTTAACTCCTTATCTGAAAAACAGTTGGCTGTGACCGTATTAACAATCATATTATCAGTTTTCCTTGGCAACATTTATGTGTCAAAATGTATCATGGGTTTCACAGCTTAGTTCCAGAAATAGGCTGTGGTCCGGGTGACATCATACCTTCCTCCATAAAAACCTTTTTTTATTTTTTTTTTTCATCCTTCCATAAACACTTGCTCTCCCAGCCCTACGCTGGACCCACTCAGGCCATTAAGGCATAACGAGCTCTTCCCAGCTCTCAGCATCCCAGCCTGGCAGGAGGGTTGAAAAGTTTACCAAAACAGCGCGATTTGTGCCAGAGAGCCGGAGCCTTTGCGGCTCTGCCGTGGCAGGACAGGAGAAGCGCAGAGGCCGCGTTAAAACCGTGAGCACTGAGCACTGAGGAGGCACCAGGGGCCGTGGGTGTCTGAACGGGGCTGTGGGTTCATCCTCTGTGTGATGTCAAAGGATAACAATGTGTCAGGACTGGGAGGCGCAATCCCTCCCTCCATCGCGCCCGCGATGCGCGCGATCGATGCGCCAGCGGCACGGAGAAGGGAGAGATGGTGAAAAGCCAGGAGCAGGCAGAGCTGAAACCCCCCTCTCCTCCTCTCCAAAGCCTTACTGGGGTTTTTACATACTAAGGAACTGGATTCTTACAAAGGAAGCCTTACAAAGTGGCATTGTGAAACTGCATTGCAAAATTCAATTAAGTGAAGTTTCAAACAGCTACGCAACGATGTTGTGTTGGAGTCTGGGTGCCATTTGGGTGATTCACCGACAAACATTGCACTGTCTTTTCAGTTTTTTTTAAATATTTTGTGTTTGTGTGTCTTTTCAATTTTGTCACAAGTGTATGTTAAGAAAAAATTCTAGACTACTTTTGCATCATTTAAAGAAGAAAGGATATAAGGAATTCTGTCAATCCTTTCCTTCAAAAATAATGAAGGATGAAGTATAACTAAAAAGATGTTGTTATGGTCAGTTTTGTGTCTCCATGAAAGAAGCCACAGACCAAAACATTTTCCTTTATTTTGACATTTTCCTTTATTTTGAAGGAGCAGTTTCCCAGATCTCAACATAACTGGATTTTACCTTCAAAATCTAAGAAGTTATAAGATGGGGTAAAAAAAGAAACCAAACAACCAAAAAAACCCCACCACTGAACTGAAAAGTTGTCTTAGGAATCATTCAGGAAAACTAAAACAACTAAGCTAAACTTTGAAATTGAGTGTTTGGACCACATTACACTCTGGAACAGTGTTACTCAACATTTAGCCATTCCAGTTTTGATTTCATTTACTTTGGAAAAGACATCAGTAGCAGTGAAATTAAGGCACTCTGTCAGAAGCTGAAGAGAACCTTTATAACATACTTTAAGATCTTCAGGGGTTTTTTGGAAGCTTCTGTGTAGTTCCTCATGCAAACAGCTCTTCACTGGACAAATAGCATCAGAATATTGGGATGTTCCTATCAATTCCTACAGAAGTTTGGAAGTGACATACAGCCCAAAATAAAGATATATTTTAAAATTTTTTGGCTTTTTTTCTTTTCCATTTCCTTTATTTTTTTTTTTCCTCCAAAAGCCAGCGGCATAATTAAAAAAAATAAGGGAGACAGAGAGAGAGAGAGAGGAAGTATACAGAGGAATTGCAGAACAAACAAGATGGCAAAATAACACAACTATTTTTTAATAAGCTGGGAATTTGCCTCAGTATGCAGTTCTTGGAGGAGAGGAAGTTTCTGTGAGCTGGCCAGATTCCCCATTGCAGACATATGGACACCTGGAAGAAAAAAACAAAAGAAAGTTTTATTCTTGTATAATCCTAAGGTTACCTTTTTTTGACAAGGATAAGTACTCCTTATTAAGGAATGCTTGAAAGATTGCAGAAGCTGTAAATTGTAGCTTTTACTGGTTAAATGATAAAGAAGTATAAACCTGGGATCTTTACTCTTGCTGTGAATGCAGGATAACTCCTTTAACATTGATGGAGCTACAGAGCTGGAAAGTTGTTTTTGAGAGGATAGTGCAGCTGGTGAAAATAAAATACACTGAGCAAAGTGAAGGGGAGATGGGGAGGGAGAGGAAGGGGAAACTCTATAAATAAAACCTATATTTGAGTTAAGCTCTTCTTGATCTTTAATGAGTTATGTTTCCTAAGGGAAGAGAGGAATAAGAGCTGTGATGAGGGAGACAAATACCTGTTGAAAATTCAGAAGATATTTTCCAGGGTCCCAGCCTTGAGGCTGAATGGTAACAGAGCTGGACTCACCCAAGGGAAAACACAAGATTAATGAGGAGAGCTATAAAATCCAGAAGAGAAGAGAGATGCAGAGGTATGTTCCTCTCACTGAGACTGAGCATGGGATACAGGAGGATTAGAACCTTGTTCATGTGTCAACATTTCTTCAAACCTAAGCTGTGGAAAGCTTCTTAGCTCTGGGATGATTTTGCTGGTCTTTCTAAACCTTCATTAGTTAGCTATTAATTCCATATCATCATTATTTATTTTAATCTATTACAGGGAGGCTCGGGCCAGCTGAGGAACTGGCGGGAGGGAGCTCTGGAGCACCACAGACTGTTCCAGTGGCACTTTGCTGTGGGGGTCCAGGACAGGAAGAAGCAGCAGTTGATGAGGTTTATTCTGGGCTCTTT